TATCTGATCATGTTGATCTGGTAGTTGAAGGGAATCCTGGGTTCTTCTGACCTGAGGATCCTTGAATGGGCACAAAAGCCTCAGGCCTTGCAAACTCTCTACCTGCTCATTTCCCTGTGAGATACTGCATTAGTGCCTCAGTACCTCTTTAAACTACATGAACTATCTCCAAAGTAGAGTAGCTTTTCTTCCCCTGAACTCCATGAACCCGAAACAGAACAGAACTGCATGAAGAAATCTCAATATGTTCTTGCAGTTATAGACAAAGAGTGGGCTAATCATTATATCAAAAGAGTTCTTGTATCCAACCACCTGAGATGGTAGCAGTGCCTGGTTTCCAAGATAGAATTACTGCACTGATTCATTCAACAACAAGGACACTCCCAGAACCCTGCCATCTGCCATATGGGCTTTAATACAATCCTTTATCGCATGATGCCCAGGCCCTGTCTATTTTACCTGGAAAAAACTCCTGGGAATGTTTGATATATTTAAAATTACATTTCTGTGAGCATTATTTAAATCCCTCTTTAAGTAGTGCTCAAAATTACTGCAATAGTGTAGATTCATAAATAAACAGATACTTAAGAAAAAAAGAAAACACTGTCCTGGAAAGCTTCCCCTCTTTCAAAGATTTTTATTTCCTCTGAAAAGGAGGAATTCAAGGGTTACTATTATATCAATCATTTCAGGAAAAGCCAGTCAATTGTATTACATTTACAAAACTTTCCAAGTATCATTTTAACTGATCAAATTTGGGGAAGGTATTGTTTATTGAAATACTACAACCTTGTCTTTTGCTAGTACAGCCTTCTCTTTTGAAGATCTGGTCCATGTTTTTAGCAATCTCTGCTGATGATTCCATTGCAAATCTGATAAAAAGCAATGAATCAATCCTCCCAGAAGTAAAATGTTAATACACACAAAGCTATATATGTAATTTCAGTGTTTATTAATCCCTTAAAATGCAGATTAATAATTCCTGATCTAGCCAGTCATTGATGATGTTTGGCATAAAATAACACACAATTCAGCAAACTATTCTCACTTCAATAAGACTTCCCTCTTTTGATTGCTGAGTAGAAACAGCAAACTGCAATCTATCATTGCATAGTTCTTCGGACAAATTTTCAAGTACAGTTTAAAATAAATAGGGTTTTTTCGTTGGTGATGGTGTTTTGTTTTGGTTTTGGGTTTGGGATTTTTAATCTGTGCAAATGTTTGAATGGTAATCAAAATAACTAAAACTCAGGCAACTCGGGATAAAATGCACATGAATACACACTAAAATAACACAAACTCACCACTACAAGCCATCAACTTGAAACATTCCTTTTGACCACTTCAGAAATGAGAAACTTGGATTTATCACAGAATTCACAGCAAGGTATTGCCTATCTACATAAGGCACTGGGCATGGGGGAAATCATAAAATCTTTATTGGAAGGAATAAAAATTTCCAAACTGGAAAATAAAAGATACCTAAGGAAATTAGGAAGCCACACAAGAAAAAAATTCAAAGATGAAGTTATTTGTTCAAAAGAATTCGATTTAATTTTTTAATTAAAGGAGTTTGTGGACAAAGCAAATGCTACTAGCTTGCGTTCAAGATGTCACTAGAGTAGATTTGGTAGAGTAGAGAAGGCAGAAGTTGGATAGCAAAGGACTAAGAAATCAGTGCACAGTGAGAGAGTCAAGATGCCAAGTAAAAGCTACAGTTCTGAAACCTCTGAAGGGCCAATGGTAGACAGGGACCTGCAAGTCAAGGAATTGCTTGCAAGGTCAACAAAAGACTCAGTGTAGTCAGTGACCGTGTGCTAGACACTGGAGACACAAAGATACCAGGCATGCATGCCCTCATCCTCTCGGAACTCATAGTCTAACAAGAAAGACAGGTTCAAGGAGGCAATTATAATTCACGAACGAGACAGATCTGCACAGATCTGTAGTGGAAAACAGGAGATGTGTCCTCCAGCCAAGTTCAGAAGGGCAAGAAGGGACTTCCTCAAGAGTGAGGCCTAAAAAAAGGTCTTGAAGGAGTTATCAAGCCAAAGAGAAAGAGCTTTCCAGTCTGACAAGGCCTCAGGAGCAAATGCAGACAATGACTAGTGCAGTACCACGGGCTGAGTGCGAGGCTGGGAGTGGCAGGAGTACCAGAGTTCCCATAAATTAGTGTATGGAATCACCAGCTGGGAAGATGGCAAGTGTGGAGCAGGCAAGGTGTCTCCCCAAAACAAATGACCGTGGGCTCAGGCAGGGGACATCTGCACGGTGTCAACAGACTGAGAGGATGGGGAAACTGAGGATAGAGAGTGGCAGCAGGAGAGACAGAATGTGCCATGAGGCATGGAACAAGAGCCTAGATTCCCAAAAGCAAAGCAGTCAAAGGGGCAGTGACAGCCCCTAGGCGGTAGAGGCAAGGATATCCATATACAAGGTGGAGACAGCCAGTAGAGAAAGACCCTGTTCAGGGCTGTGCTTACCACAAAAGCACAGAGAAGAATGGAAACAGGGGCTGGGATATAATTCAGCAGCAATGCACCTTCCTGGTAAGCACAAGGTCCTTAGCTCAATTACTAGTACCACCACCACCACCCTCAAGAAATGAATACAGTCAAGAGAAGTCGAGGCCCACCAGGCATGGTAGCTCATTCCTGTAACACCAGCACGCAGGAGGCTGAGCTAAGTAAGAGGATTGCCTAGAGTTCAAGCCATCCTGAAAAACAGAGAAAGAAGGAAGTCGAGCCCTGACTTCACCTTCCAACACTAGGCAAGTTACATCCCTTTCCTGGACCTCCCTTTCTGGTCTTGACTAGTCACTTAAACGCCTAAAGTTATATTGCCCAGCTTTCCCATACGGAAAGAATAGTTTAAGGCTGAGAAGAAGGTGTTCATAAATTTCATGGAAGAATGGTCTTTATTGTATTTCCTGCCAGAATTCACAAATGTTACATTGGTAACTGTCTTTAGTATAGAACCTTAATCTTAAAATTTGCAAAGCTGTTTCAGATATATCTTCTAAGGTAATCCAAACCACCTTCCTGTAAGGACTCTAGAACCTCTATTTTATAAATGAAAAAAACTGAGATTCTACAAGGCTAAACCAATTCCAACTTCGCAATGGTAAAATAAATCTTTTTCTCTTAATATAGAGATTCTATTTGGCATGGTTCACTGAGATACCCAAAATTTAATTAACTCTTTGAGTTCTGAAAAGTCAATCCCTCAGAAAGTAAAGAGTGTCCCTAATTGTACGAAAGCTAAAAATGTCATTCCAGGCATCCAGCTGACAACTGAAATGAACCAAAGGGTCTGTCTGGACTTTAATACCTTCGCGATGTTTTAAGAAAGCTCTGTAAGTGGAAGCAAATCAAAACAAGAATATAAATACTCACCCAAACTGTTCAGTACAGAACACTGTATGTTAGGAGAAAAAAAAAACCCTTAATTCAATCTATCTACCCTTGTGCAACTGCGTATCACACTGAGTCAGAACAAAGAGATTTTATTTTCCTCATAATGAGTTTTTTCTCTTCAATAACTCCAGAAAGTACTGAGGTCCCAGGTCGTTAATTATAACACCTGGTTCATACCAACTATATGTTAACATGGCCAATTAAGAAACCAAAGAAATTCCTAGGTCCTTACAAGCAAAATGCAAACTTCAATTATTTATTAATTATTCTTTCCTTGTTAGTTCAGTCACTAAAAGTTCATTTTCTATAAAAGAATATTTACTTTCCAGATGGCTATAAAAATCTTGACATTTTATTTTCTACAGATAGCAGCTCCTCTGAAAAACAGATCTATTTTAAAGGAAGTTGCAAATATGTTTTCAGGTCAGACAATATTTTATAAGTTAATTTCTAGAAGAATTTAGTACAATTGATTTTATGTAATTTAACTATTTACGGACTTGTCTTTGGTGTCATTCCATGGCCATTTAGCACTTTGAGATGAATAGCAAAAATCTGTAAATTCATAAATATAAGAATTCAATAACATAAACATAAGAATTCAATAACATATTCATAAACATATGAATTCAATTACATATTCTACAGGAAATTATCTACCAGACTGACTTTCATACATGAATTCGATTTAAAAAACAAAAAGGAACACTGAGTTAATGTATATAAGACATTGTCCTATATAATAGCAATGTTTCACCTAGGAGAAAGAATAAAACACTTGAGCATTACACTTTTATTGTTAAGAGTATGCTGTGTAGTATTGCCTTCCAAAATGAAATACTTAAGATGTTCATTTAAAAACTGGAACAAAAAGATAAATATTGCTTTTTAGATAAGTTTACTAAAACTAGGAATAGAAATGTCACTTTTCTTCACATGTTTAGAATTTAAGAAGAAAAAAAGCTACATGTCAAAATACACACAGAAGTATAGAAAATGAAACGAGATGCTTGTGTTATATCAAAATTGTTTGTGAATTCTGAGTACATGCATAGAATTCTACCATCTCAGGTAAAGACTGTGCTCAACTGCTGCTACTAGTTCATCAATCTTACTTGGCTATTAACACTACAGCAATGACATTCAGGAAACACACAAACATTTCAATATTGACCGACAGAAAACAGTTTCACTCCAGACTCCAACCATGATGAGACCTTTCATCACTTGGTAACAATGTCTGCGAGCGGACCTGAAGGATTCAGAAAAATTATACTAGAAGGAAATTCAATAGAGACTCATTAACAACAGCCTAAAAGGATTTATGCTTTCTTTCTTAGATCACTATCCCAATGACTTCATTCAGCTCATATTGCAGTTCATCCTGAAAAATGAAAGAGGTTAATATGTCCTTTGTGGTATAATTAGGAGGATCAGTTTCAACTTGTAGGGGGCACTACTCACATAAATTTCCAAAGATGAAAATTACCTTACTAAAATGGTGTGTATGCAGCAATCCCACTAAGCGAATTTCCTGATTCAAATGTTTTAATACCAAAATACAAACACCACTACAATACTCACTTTTAGTTTCTTGTTTAGTTTACAGCAGTATCTGTACACCATTGCCAAGTTCAGAGGTCCAAAATCTGCATAGAAACTGAAATATTTTTTAAAAAATGTATTTAGTATAACTTTCAGTGAAATCCACACTCATTTTAAATTTGTCAAATTTTCAATTTCAATGATCCTTCAGGAATAAAGATGTAATTAATCTGGCTTGCAGTAATCTACATAAGTAATGGTTTCACCCTAGTGAGGCCATTCAGTTATTCTAACCAGTCTCTTAGTGATATAGTTGGGCAGTTTTGAATTCCACCTCCTTTTATCTCCCTGTCATGCCATTTAAGTAAAAGTACTGAATAGGGGTAAGGAGATAACCAATATGTATATAACATGCACATGGCCTCTACACCCTGCTTTTATCTCTTCAGCACCTGTTCTGCCATAAAGCACACGTCCTTTGGTTTTCAGTTCCAACCTTTCCATTCAAATGCTCTCAGCTCTCACCTGAACTACAAGAACTACCCTGTCTCCAAACACTTTTGGCTCTCAAGAGCCTTAAATCTTCCACTCCTCTCTTCAGTTTTCATTCTCGTTAAATTTTCTGTATTATAAGACACATCACACCCCTCTGCCATCCCCTTAGCCGTCCAGGGTATGATCTTCGGTCTACAGATCTCCTCTTTTACTGATTGTCAACTAACTGGCAACTCAACAAAACAAGATGCTTCTTCCACTTGAAATCCTGCATCAATCTTCATCTTCCCCATTCTCAGCTATTTCCAGGTCCTTTCATCCACAAGCTTCCCTTCCCCTGGAACTTGGGGTGTATAAATCTATCTTTCCTTGAGAGTAGCCCTCTAAACAAAAATAGTTTGCTTCTCCCAGTCACTCAGGCAGGAAACCTCTCAAACACAACAAAGGAAAAAATAAATGTTAATTTAAACATTTTATATCAAATAAGCTACTAATGCAACACATCTCTTCCCTTTCTGCCCCATCTTAGCAACAGAATTCCAGAGCTTGAATTTATGCCTGCACTGGTGAAATCCTGTCTCCCTTTCTAGTTATCCTGTATTCTATCTTAGAGCTCAATCTTCGTAAAACCTCACATCTCTCCTGTCCTCCCACTATTCAAACAATGTTGAACACTGCTTACTGCCTTAGTAATTCCTTGGTTGAGGAATCAAAGCCTCATACAACATGCCCCCTAACTTCCAGGCAGATCTTCTAACACATGTGTGTTCAACTTTTCATCTGCCTGGGCCGCACTGAGCAAAGAGGAGTTGTCTTGGGTCACATATAAAACATACAATATAATTAATGTATGTATCCTTTTTATGCTTTTTAGTATAACACTATGCCTTTTATTATAACATTAAAATGAAAAAACATTTTATAACATCAAAATAGAATAAGATTAATCCCAGTTTAATAATTAAGAAAACATGTATCTGTTTAAAAACGAACACAAGGAAAAAAGCTATGTTCACTCCCGTGAGCCAGCCAGTGCACCAGGAAGGAAGCTATGTCCATGAGCCAGCACACAGACTGGAGAGAAAAGAAACCCCCTAACCTCCCAAACCTCCCACCCACAACCACCACCACCCCGATAAGCAACTGGCTGATTTGGAGAACTGTATTGACTTTGCAAGCCTAAGGCTGGTAGTCTGAGCATCTATTTAGAGATAACAGTACGCAATATAGTAACTATTGTAGATTTCTTAATATTTTATCACTGTTTTGTTTCATTTTAATCCCTTTCAAAATAAAAAAATTATAAAATATCAAAATTAGTATAGAAAAACAAAATGCATGGAATTGCCAACAAGGAACATGAAATCAGCCTCAAAATCTCCTGTCTAACTTCATCTCTCACCAAAATAAATGTTTGACAGAAGATATTAAAAAAATAAATAAATAAACCCTTGTCTTCATAAGCAGACATGGGTAAGTAGGCTAAAATACAATTACTGGTGTATGTAGGTAGGTTGAAATACTATTACTGGTAATCACTGCACTCTCCAAGTCACAAAAGTACAGGTGACATCTGATATGTTCAGACTCTGACTCAACTGGCTGTGTGTGATGGGCATGGGAGGTAAAGTCGGCACTGCACTGTGCCCCCCACACACACTGTGCTCAGCTGTCACCTACAAGCCTTGCACTCAAGCACCATGCAATCCAGTCATGAGCAATATAGCTCAAAATCAAAAAATAATGTCAAAAGTTTCCAATCTTGTTACATTACTAACTGTCCAGAGTTGAAAGCACTGGACCTGCCTGCCTTAATAGGCTCTGCATGGAACATTTATTCCAACAAATATATGCCTTATTTCCAAGCATTAAAGATTTTATTTTAAGAAAAAAGTAAGCTTTTAATATTCCACTGGAGCAAGTCTCTGCTTACACTGTCCATATTGGTTGCCTTGCATAAAATACCCTCCTTTTCTCTATCTGCTGTTCTCCACATTCCTCCAAATCTGGCTCACAAATGACATGCCCCACAAAATCTTTCCAGTCTCCCTTAGGAAGCACTAACTGCCCTCTCCTTGAAGTCCTCAAAACTTACAATGTATTCAAAAGCCATACACATACGAGTTAGACAGTGTGATATGCCAATGGACAACACTGATAAAGACAGGAACAAAAATGACAAACACTACCAAGGAAATTCCCAACGATTAGGAAAGAAGTATAAATAAAACGTATGAATATAGTATCTTTTCCCCTCAAGGATCCACTAATTTTTCCCAATAGGAAAATTAGACCAGGGGAAACATTATCCTCTTAGGTTCAAAGGCATGATATTTCCAAAAAGCCACTGTGGAATTAAAACAGGAGATAACAGAAAAATAAAAGGTCTAGTCTCCACCTTCCTTTAACTGTCCCTGAGAAAGACAGACTCCTATAAAAGCAGATTGTTCCACTGATATGGCTTAGGGGCACAGCGCCTGCCTGACAAGTGTGAGGTCCTGAGTTCGATATCCGTTACTAAACACAAGAGCAGACTGCTTTCCAAAATTAGTTGTGTGGAAGACGCCACAGGAGATTTTTCACCCCAGAATATCCTGAAGCTCAATGGACCAGCCCTCACAGTCCACAAAAACATGAGGACAGTTCAAGTCACACTAAAAACTCAGTCAAGGGGGCTGGGGATTTAGCTCAGCGGCATAAGCGCCTGCCTTGCAAACAGGCAGTCGCGAGTTCGATCCCCGGTACCGATAAAAAAGAAAAAGACAAAAAAAAAAAAAAAAAAAAAAAAACCTCAGTCAAATATTTCACAATTCAGCAAGTCTTCAAAAGCACCATTCAAGTCTCCAAAGTCAAGCCAGTCTTCAAAAGTCACAACTGAGCAATTTGGAGCCAGCCTTCAGAAGCCAGAAGTATTACAAGTATAAAGTCAAAAAACTATGTTGTCCGGTCATTTGATATATCCCTTCTTTATCATGTTTATAAAAATGTTCATGTATTTAGAATAATAGTCTTTTTCCTTTATAGCTAAATACATTTCTGACAATGTCAAAGTCATTAAAAATAGTCACAGTTCTTCACACTTGTACTGCATTGTCACTAACTGTAATATTAAGAAATTCCACAAAGAAAATATCTTCTTACAACATGCTTCTTTGTAAGAATCTTCAAGGAAAATTCTAAATTTAAAAATCAATTAATAATCAATGTAAGTAAGTTAGCTAGAATATAAAGTAATGTATCAGGACAACTTAGAATACAGACAGCAGAATGAAATAGGCTCAACAAAGGAGAGGATAAATGGAATATCGTCAACCCAGGGACGGTGAAGAGAAGAGAAATACCAGAGAAAAGATCCTTTAGTAACTCTACAAAGAAATCTGACGTCAGAACGGGATCTTTAACTTGCCCTTCCACCTCAGTAAACAATGTCTCCTCCACTGCAGCTGTTCCCAGGAAAAGGCCTTCATGGCCTCAGCCAAGCAAGCCCCCCTCCCTTTGTCTTGGTGGAAAAGCATATTCTGAGGTCTCATCTGGATAGGGATAAACACAGATGTATTATTTCACCATCTCATAGTACCTTCATTTCCAGATGAATGAACAAATGAGTTTCTCTCTGCGTAAATTTCCTCTAACAAAAATATGAAAAATTATGAGGCATATGAAAAATCGAAGATCAATCTTTTGTTCAATTAAGCATTAATAACTAAAACCAAATTCTTTCCTGTTTTGACAGGGAAGAAATTAAAAAGAATTGGAGAAGTAGAATTCCCTCAGGAGAGGGAAGAAAGAAGGTCATCTCATTACGGAAGGGCAAAGAAACAAGAGTCCAAGAATCGGGCACACGAAGGGTCACCCCCGGTCCAACAGTGTTAGTCCTAAGATGTGGAAGGGACAGATGCTAAGCCTAGTTTTCTTTCCTACCCAGCAAGTCCAGTCCTCTCACAAGATTTAGAAAGTTTATGATCTATCATTATTTTGCCTTTGGTTTAAAAAAAAAAAATGTAAATCCATTGAGTCCACTCCCAGAGCGATCACTGTTCGAAGTACTGTTACACCTTATTCTATATATAAGTTGTAGAAACTTTTCAACTCTTCTGCAAAAAAATAAGCAGTTTACCCATGTATTCAGTAACCACCTATTCTGAGCAAGACACTGCATGTTAACATACTAATCCAAGAATGCTTGCTATTTTTTTTTTAAAAAAACTGCTTTAGGGGCTGGGGATTTAGCTCAGGGGAATAAGCACCTGCTTTGCAAGCACATGGTTGTGAGTTTGATCCCTGGTTCAAAAAGAAAAAAAAATGCTTTAAAGATAGTATGAAAAATTTCTATAAAATCATTGTAAGTAATGCCAATCCTTTAAATTTTACAGCACCGTTGACATTTTTGTCTATTCATTTATTCATTTAATATGTACTGAAAGCTAGTCCCAACTCACAATACCAACATCCACTAAGATAGTATATGTAAGTAAAAAAATTTTGGTGAAATTAAATAGCACTGCCTCTGGGCTATACATAGCAACTATTTTCCTTTTTACTAAATGTTATTAGCATCATTCCAGTTAGGTGATAAAGTTCTTCTACCTGACTCTGCTCATAAAAAGTCCTAACTGGTTG